CAGATGTCTTCTCAGTCTGCTGTCAGCTACAACTGTGCTAGTTCCATGCCCCACTTCCCCTCTTTGCCTGCCACCTTTTATCATGTGTCATTTATACCTGTGTAAAATGGGGGCTAAAAATACTACTAGATCCAAAAATGTAAATGCTCTGCTATTTACCTACACTCCTGTTCAGCCCTGATATTTAATATGCTGAACTGAGTGGATGTGGAAGAGGGAAGTTCATAGTGTACCTGTTTTGGTATCTGCCCGAAGTTGCTGACGAAGCCCAGGATGGTGCTTTTAATCAGAGGATCACTAATGCTGTTGAGGTCCATCTTGTCTCCATAAAAATAAGGATGAAAGGTGTTAACTGCCTCCACCGCAGCTGAGCCATGTTGCTTATAACCAAAAATCAGATCAATCCAATGATGAAGATGTGCACTGACATAGTCACTTTCCAGAGCCTGAAACCAACAACGAAAGCTTGTTCAACAGAGTGCATCTCTTTGAAATATAATTAACATCCTGAATTGAGAGGTTAAATTTCCTACAAAGCATTTAGATTTAGAAAAGAGTGAATATGGATGCTTCAAATTCCAATCACTTCTCAGGATACATGGGCTTTATAAGTAATTGACCAAAGAGGCTAAGGGTATGTCTGCATAACAATACAAAGGTGCAATTCTAGGATATATCACCGTACCCATACTAACTTGATTTAGGTACAGCTATAGGTATACAGCAGTAAAAATTCAGTGACAAAGGCTTTAGCTTTTACATGAAACCAAAGTACAAACATTACAGCGTTCCCGGGTACTGATTGCTAACATATGCTGAATCTGGTGCTGCTATATCTTCTCCTCTGTTGTTAACAATGCTATCTAGATTAATTTAATACATGAGATGCTCACTGAGCAGTTGACTAATTAGCGGCACAGTAAACATCTTGGCTTCTACACGTATGCCTCTATTAGCCTGGAGTAAACTAATTTACTCCACAGCAGGATAGTACTTGTATTTACAAGTTGTATTTACAAGTACTATCCTGCTACAGAATAAAAGATCTGCAGCAGTGCATGTGTAGACACTGGAGGGGCTGGTTGGAGCATGAGGTGCTTCAGTGCAGGGGCTGCCTGCTGGCTTGCCCCCACACTGAAGCTCCCTCATGCCTCAGCCAACCCCCCTACAGCATGTTGAACTGGGGGGAGCAGTCCCAGGCTGGAAAGCTGGCCCCTGGGACCCCCTGCCAGCCAGAGCCGCTCTGACCCAGCTCCACATACTGCACACGAATATACTGTGGAGCTTATTGCTCCAGAGTTAATTGCTCCCAGATGCAGCATTTGAACGTACACCCGGGAGCAATTAACTCCGGAGCAATAAGCTCTGCAATTTCTTCTTGCTCCGTAACAGCATGTAGACGTACCTACATGGTAGCATGATATCTACGCAGTGACCTTCATTCCATTGCATAGACATATCCTAAACAGGTTAATGTGTCTATCATCTGCCTCTACAGACCTGCATTCTGTGCTTTGTTTTGGTCAGAAATCCAAGTAAGCTTAATGGCTTCAACCTAGGAGATATTCTGGCCCCATTATAACATCAGTGAATGGTTCCATGAAATGAGTTTTCCCTTCTCAGGAGGGGCACAGAAGTTGTAGGTGGTGCTGTAGGTCAGGACAGAGGGGTAATGGTAGAAGAGGAGTGGAGGGTGCTGCTCTGAGGGGTAATAGAAAGGCCATGTATGACCCAGGAAGAGAATAAGGAAGATGAACTGGTGAGTTGTTTGACTGAAGCTCTAAGAACTCTGTGGTCCTGATCAGCAAATCCAATCACATTTTGGACTGAGTGACAAAAGCCACCAAATTGGAGCTGATAAGAATTACAACACCAAAATCCCTTGCCCTAAAAATCACAATGGAAGGCTGCTGGTGTCTCTTCCAAATTTCTTTTTAGAGGTCACAGGATGCAGTTACATGAGATGCTACAAAAGCAGTAGCCTAATTCTACTGTACATTAAAGCATCACAGCAAAAGCCATGCTATAGCACTAATCCATGGTGGAATTAACCTACTGTGTATTAGTGTCACTAAAAAGGCATGTGCTGGTGCAACTGCATAGTAGTGCAGGTTACTGTGCATTAAGTTAGTACCTGTTATTACAGGTACTAAACTTAATGCGCAGTAATCATTATATATTAAAGCAGGTGTAGATGTATCCAGAGGGAACTGGCTAATTTAGATAGGCTTGACTTTACCAACCTTATTTACACGAGATGAAATTACTACACAAGATGAACAGCCATAACAAAAACCAGAGAGGTTCAAAGGGAGTAATTACAAGCAACTATCCCTCCTCCCTTGGGGGCTCACACAAAGCTGCACGTGGACAAAGCAGGATATGTAGCTGGAAAGATTTGTAACGACTTGTTGACAGTGTGAAGGATGGACAGGCAGATTCATGTCCCTTCTACAGCCCCCAGAAAGCCAGCCCTACCCTGTGTAAGTGCAAATTAGGGTGCCTATACTTGTGCTCCAAACCACTCTAATTAGAATGTGTCAGAGTAGACTTGATTAATCCCAGACTATTAACACCAGAGCAGACTCGATTAAATGAGCAGACTTGATTAATCAAGTGTTCTGCAGCATTCTAATTAGTAAGCTACAGCATGCCTCACCATCACGTGTGTAGTGTCCTGCATTTCAAAATGGCAGTACAGGTGTTTTAACTAAAACTCAGAGAACAAGGTTTAGTTGAACTGCGTCCCCCATGGCCATTTTGAAATACAGGACACTGAATACACCTGATGCTGTGGCATTTTAATTAAAGCTACTGTTCAGGAGTTGCTTTAATTAACCCTCTTCCCACCGCAGAGCACGTGTATAGACAGCCATAGTACCGAGGCTTCTTTCCATCTTTCCCTAATGCCTAAGACAGGCTTCTGGGGTCTCTCAAAGTGGTAGTGTGGCACTATATTCTTTCCAAGCCAGGGCTGTGCCTTCCAGGCCATTCATATTTGCCCAGTGACTTCAAACAGCAATGGACCATGTGTGTGCTGTGTTATTAAAAGTGCTGTAACTGGTCTGACTGTGGAGTGATCCCTCATGCTGAATTAGAAGATCTCCCAAGCACACCATCCCACAGCACACATCAGAAAGAAGCACGCTAATGGGTGCCAAAAGAATGGCTCATTTCACAGAGCAGATACTTAGTCCAGTGCATCTGGTCTAAATTACCCTGTCCACAGCTATAATGATTACATGTTAGCAGAGAGAACAAGTGTGTCATACACTGCAAACAATAGGAAAACATTTATGCCTAGGCTCAAAACTCATTCTCATTAATGGAAGCAGTTAGTATATAAATTACATACTGTAAACTTGGCTTAGCACTCTCAGGAGAGCAAAATAAAGTGATGAATGAATTCAAATGCAACCAAGTGACAGGTTAGTATGTAGCGGAAAGTTAGGATTTTACCTATATTTGGCCCACCTATGAAAAAAGAGAGATGCACGTTAACATGAACCACAGGGGTTTGCTTTAAACACTGCAGAGCACCTCGTCTTTTAAGCATGGTACAGGGGGCTGAGCTGGGAGGTGATGGTAGAATAGCTACAGCTCCAGAGGCCTGAGCTTGGGCCCCACTATGGACTTGGGCTAAATACCACTCACCCTCTGGCAATGCAGCTATAAATGGGTACCTGGTCCCTGGACCAGGCTGGGGGACCAAAAATGACCAGACATGAGGCAAGTCACATCATTCCCTTGTGTAGCTCCAGGTTTGGGGATGTTCCCATTTTATCCAAATGGCCTTCACAATTTCTAGTGTACAGAAAGTTGTCTTAGAAAAAGTATCTGCCTCTTCCTGGTAAATTCTGGATGGTGACTGGCTTAGGACTCAGGCGACCTGTCCCTGCTACACCCTTTCTGTTTGACCTTGTTCAAATTGCTTACTCTGTACAATGGTTCTTTATCTGCTAAACAGGGATAAGGAGGCCTCCCTTATCCTTCCTTTGTGCATGTAGATTGTAAACTGGAACAGCCAAGTGCTGCGCCTCACCACTAGAACTGGTCAGAAAACAGAAATTTTATTCTAGGGGAAATTATGCCAATTTGAAATGCATTTCCTGTTCATACTGGAATGAAAAAAATGAAATTCTCAAATGTCTTATACAATGGAAACTAAAGAATTTTCATTTGGAAATAATGACTTGTTTCATTTTTGACAATATCAAAACCATATCATAAAATATTAAATGTTATCTTTACCTACATATTATGGTTGAATTCACATTTTAAAATTACATTAAAGTTGCAAGGAAAAGAACAATAACATCAAAATAAAATGTTTCTTCATCATCAAAATGAGAATGTTGGAATGAATGGTTTTGAGGTGTTCTGATCAAACCTCTCACATTTCTGCACAACATTTCTATTCCAAAAGAGCTGCATTTTTTGATGGAAAATGGTTCAATCAAAAAATTTTGACCAACTCAACTCTCTAAATATCTATGTGGTTTTGAAAATCATGAGCTTGGGATCTTGTCAGAACTTTTAGGTGCTACTGAAATACATATTAAACAAAAAGCACAAATATTTATATTGTTACTGTAAAAGGGCTGGTTAGTGACTGAATAAATTAAATGGATTGATTTGGGTTACTAAAAGGTGTAGAGACATGACAATGAATCAAGTTACTATACTTGGAGACACTTGAGACCATAGCACTAATAACAGTGGGTGCATCTACACATGAAATTAAGGTGAAGCAATAAACTCTGGAGCAGTTAGAGCCTAAGTAAACTGCTACCAGGTGCATTTACATATATGCCTATGACAGCAGCAATTTGAAACAAGGTAGAGCAGGCCTGGGCTGGCAAGGGGGTGGGGGAAGGGAGGGTGCCGGGGGAGTCAGCCCTGGGCTTCAGGTGATGGCAGCAGGTGGCAGAAGGGCTGGCTGGGTCATGAGGGTGCTAAAAGCACAGAGCCACGGGGCTAAGTGGCAGGCAGGAGTCTGGCCCCTGCCTGGTTACTGTCTACATGTGCGTTTCAGTGCAGTAAATTACTCCGCCATACAACAGCACTATCTTACACAGCAGCTAGAGGGGGTTTGAACCTAAATCTCCTGCTTCCCAAAAAAGTACCGTACCAATCAGACCAAAAGCTATTCACGGAGTGCTGCCAGGGCTCCTGCCCGGGGGGGGGGGGCGCAGCCTTCCCGGGGCTTGTCTGAGGCCTTCACCCAGGCAGAGCCCATGGGGGGGCTGGCGTCCCCCCACCTCCTGGCCTGTGGGAGCTACCCAGCAAGGTCTGGGGGGGCAGGGATTGGGGACCCCCACACCGGTCCTGCAGGCACCCACCTTAGGGGCCTGGAGGTGCAGGTGAGGGAGCTTCAGGAGGAGGTTAGCAGGCTGAAGAGAATCAGGGAGGCAAAGGAAGAAATTGACAGCTATTTCCTTTCCTCGCAGGGTCACACACCCAAGGAAGAAGCACCCCGGGAGGTGCCCTCCACTGCAGAGTGGCAGACGGTCACCTCCAGAACCAGGGCTGCTCATAACACAGCAGTACCAGTTCCTCCAGTCCAGCTGGAGAACAGGTACGAGGCCCTGGCAACTCTGGAGGAGAAGGAGGGAGAGGAGGCAACTGGAGAGGAGGCAACTCCATACTCTCCACGTTCCGAGCAGGCCGAAGAGCTAAGCAGGCCAGGAGGAAAAGGCGTCGAGTGATCGTCATAGGCGACTCCATCCTGAGAGGTACAGAGGGCCCCATCTGTCACCAGGACCCCTTGACACACGAGGTCTACTGCCTACCTGGAGCAAAGATTCAGGACATGAAGGGGATGATCCA